ATTTCCCATCTAAAGTCTATATCTTATCAAGGCCATAAACACTGGAGACCATCTTGAACTGGTAGGCTATTACCACCCTAGCAAACTTGGGTCTACTAACCCATGCACAATAAAGCTAATCTACTGACATCAGATTGTGGTGGAGGAGCTTATTGCAGGGCACAAAACAAGGAGTCCAGGCAGCTAGTGCTTAAAAGACCCGAACTTCCTGATGGCTTTCAGGGAAAGGTCTTTAAAGATAAGCTGAGGGAGGGGAGTTGTGGGGTGCATGCTCAGCTCATGGAAATTCTTCTGACTGGTTGGTGGTAAGCTAATTGGGAGTCAACATCATCAATCTTTTGGTTCCCAGCTGGCTTGGTTTCTGTGCGCTTATGAGCAGCATATAGCTAACTTCCTCCACTTGGAGGGGATTTCATTAGCTGCAGAACAACTCAAAGGGATATAGCTCAGAATATTAGCTATAGCCCTTGAGGAGGAGCTAAAGATTCTTGACTTTATGGCTAAACTGTTATTATTTTGTTTTGCTTGATTGTTTTTCTTTCTTTGTGCATTTTCTCATTTCTCTGATTAATTTTTTTCTTTGGAACTTAGGGAAGGCAAGTGGAGGACATGTAAGAGTGAGATCTACCCCAGAAGGCCTCATAGGGTCCTGCTCAGTTACACTGGGTATACGTCATTCTTAGAAAGGTTTGAGCACAAAAATGATTATGCAAAGCAGAGTTAAAAGTAATATAAGTTCAGTTGGTATTATGGTTCTAAACCAGGAGCCCAAATTTAAAGGTAACACTAAATAGGTTTAAAACAAACAAACAAACAAAACCTAGGGATCATCAGGTGAAATTTATTGTAACCAATGGGCTAGTTTCCTGATCTTTTATGATTGAGTTTTTAATCTCTCCAGAGGCATTTAACTATGTGTAACAGGTAGTATTTGCTACTGAAAAAAATGCCTTCTTGTTCAGCAAGTAGGTAATGAGGGGATATGCAATTTTCCAAAACTACTTTAGCTAATGAGTCAAGTGATTGTTGCTGGGCTGCTATGCTTTGACTGTGGAATTGACTAGCTCTCCTAATGTTAGGGAGTGTGAATCATGCTTTCATTGGAACTTATTCTGACCCAGAGGAGAAAGTCTCTCCCTATGGAGGCAGACTCAGAGTCAAGTAGGCTTCTTTTAAGAGGTGAATGAATGGGAAGCTTCAAATGTTTTACTTTGCAGCTGATGTCAAGTGATTGATGAGTGAAATTAGCAATAGTGATTGGGACAAGTGAAAAATGTGTTACAGGATGGACGAAAGGGTCACCACTATTGTGAATAGATTTATTTCTCTAGGGGCAAACCCAATAATTAGGTAAGTTTCCCCCTTTTGTAGTATATTGAAAATGTGGACAAGAGTATTGTCTTTCCAAGAAGAGGGAGAGGATAAGGCAATAATAATAGAGGGAAAAGTTACACAAGCCTTGTCCAGTCATCTTGGGGGAAAAAGATGTGTCCTTCAGCTGTTATCTACTTCAGTTCCTGGTCAGTTTGATTCAGTGGTCTTCAGAACTTGTTATAGGATGGGATGCCAGGTGGGGTCTTCTTTAGCTGTGAGATGGTTTACTGTTGTTTAGTCGCTAAGTTGTGTTGGACTCTTGCAACCCCAAGGACTGAGCCTGCCAGGCTCCTCTGTCCATGGGATTTCCCAGGCAGAAATACTGGAGTGGGTTGCCATTTCCTTGTGAGATGTTTACCCAAGGTTCAAGTTTCTGGTGTTTTGGCGCATCTGGGTAGTGAGGAGGACCTTTGTGTCCAAGGAAATTCACAAATTTTATTCTTATTGATTCCAAACCAGAAGGGTTGGAAAAAGTTGGAAATGTTAATTTGGAGATTTGTAATCAGATATTTGAGGAAACAAGAAGACTTTAGGATCTAGTCCAGCTTATAGGTATATAACAAAACTTGAAAGAAAATTAACAGGACAAGAATCTAATATCTATAAAGGTGCAAACATAATTTCTCTCTCCATAATTTTCTCCCTTTTATCAAAAAAATCATAGTAAAACTAATTTGTTTGTATTATATTTGGCCTGATTATTTACATAAATGTAGCAAGAATAGTGACTGACCATATAGGTTCTTTTTAAGATTACTGTGCTGGAACCTTACAAGCAAGGTGCCAGGCTTAGTTTTTCCAAGCAATTCCTTAAAATTGGTCATATCTGAGTCTATGTATCTCTCTCTCAAATATGACATTCCAGTCAAAGCTTTGGCAATGTAGTTAATATTTCCTGTTGTATACTGTTATAAGAATAGATTCTCACTGAATTCATATAAATAACTAACTGTACTGTCAGGAAAAGAATATTTAAGAGTTCCCAAATTCTGAAGGGATCAGGTAGGAAAAGATGAATATTTCATCTTTGTTTACAACTAGTGTAAGTGACAGATGCTTAAGAGAAAAATTTCCTTAAATACGGAAAAGTAAAAATTAGGGGCTTAGCATAAGAAGTCATAAAGATTATAATCATCCTCTAAAAGACATCATTCAGGAAAAGCAGAACATTAGGGAACCAGCATAAAAAATCGTATGAATTATAGTCATCCTCATTTGTTCATTCAGTCTCCTGTAATTCTTGTTGATCTTGGGTTAGTGGCTTTATGAATCAATCAATTTTCCATTAAAGCTTTATAAGTTTTTACCTAGTTCAGTGTTATGATCTTAAAGTTCTCAGAAATCTGCATTCTAATTATTTGCGGGGGGGGGGGGGTGGGGTCTTTTCCACGTTTCTCCTTGAAGATGAAGTATTTTTATAGGAAAGCATCAGAGTAAAACTAACTCTCTACGGTGACAAAAGACTTAAATGTCCGTTTTTAGAGGTCCAATAAGAGCTCATTATAATAGAATGGACAAAGGAATTTTTTAAGTTCTATGACACACATTTTAAGATAATAACTAGAATTATGAATGGTGCCTGTGTGTGTGTGTGTGTGTGTGTGCTAAGTTTCGTCAGCTGTGTCAGACGCTTTGTGATCCTATGGACTGTAGCCCACCAGGCTCCTCTATCCATGGGATTCTCCAGGCAAGGATACTGAAGTGAGTTACTGTGTACTCCTCCAGGGAATCTTCCCAACCGAGGGTTAGAACTTGTGTCTCTTATGTCTCCTGCACTGGCAGGCAAGTTCTTTAACACTAGTACCACCTGGGGATGGTGACTGGTATACAGATATATCAGATATATACACCAGATATATCAGATTTCGAGGAATGTTATATTTATGAAGCATTTATAACACATACCTATACAGATGCAATATGAAGAAGGTTTAATATTATTTACTTGACAGTGCTTCCCATGTAATTTCCCAAATAAGTCCAATTAGTTTACTATCTCCCTTTTTATAAACAGAGAGAACAGATCCTCTGAGATGCTCCAGGGGCCCTCCAAAAAAATCCCAAAGTTAGTTTAAGGTCAAAAAGACTTCAATTATAGCTTGATTTGGGTGAAGTTTTTCAAGAATATCAAAAATTTTGGACGTGACTAAATTGGATCACAGATCATCGTAAAATAATATTTAACTATTCATTTAACTAAAGTGACAAAAAGATTTCAAAGGTTAGAGCATTGTTACTGGGGCAAAGGAGGAAACTGCCTTCCATTTTTTAAAAACAAGAGATAAAATTCCTATGTGAAAAATGTCTTCTCTTATCCCAGAAGTAAAGTAATATTTTTATCTTCCTGCTTCCTTGTTAGGCAATCTGCTCGGAGTGGTACGCGCGTGAGAGCTTTCCCCTTTGGGGCTTCCTGATTCCGTTTAAAATGAGCTTTAGTTTTATAGTATGCTTCTAATGACTTCCCTGGTGGTTCAGACGGTAAAGCGTCTGCCTACAATGCAGGAGATCCGGGTTCAATCCCTGGGTGGGGAAGATCTTCTGGATGAACGAAATGGCAACCCACTCCAGTACTCTTGCCAGGAAAATCCCATGGGAGAAGCCTGGTAGGCTACAGTCCATGGGGTCGCAAAGAGTCGGACACCACTGAGCGACTTTATTTACTTACTTCTGTAAATCTAATGGCAACTGAAACACTAAACACTACAAAGAGGACCTGGGCTCTGGACTGACCATCTAGGTACCAATTCACTCCTCACTAGAGGTAGTTAACTAACTTCTAAATCCTGTAAAATAAGGATAAGATAGTATTACTTAACCTCATATGGTTGTTACTGTATTCTGGCATACACTATAATGACATCGGCATTTAATTCTAATAAGAAGGTATAGGACTCTACGTATTCTGTAGATTTTCAGGCCCAATGACCTCTACATTACTGCTTTACATTCGAGTTTGCCCTTTTTTGATGCCCGTTCGCATCTCGGTTCTTACTTTCAGACCTTTACTTTCCAATTCTAAACTACAGTATGTTCCAATTTCATCCCATTTGTATTTTGAAGTTCCACCCTTCGTATTTTGTATACACTATCTCATTCCTTAATAAAAGCAAATTAAGAAACAACTTAAAAACAAACATTTTTCACAAACTGAAACGTGCAGATGGCAGACACCAAATCACCGGAACACACCACTTCGACCAGAGCGCTGCCGGGAGTTGTAGTCTGACGCACAGGCACGTACCTCCCCGCCTCTCCAGTTTGAAAAGCCAGAGAAAGGGCCGGTGGGCGGGGCGTTGAGGTTGAAGCGCGCTCGAAGCCCCGCCCCCGTCCTTTCCGTTTCTTGTTCGCACTGGAGGGGCGTGCCCGGCCGCGGAAGGGGCGTGGCTTTTTTCTGGGGCGGTGCTGCCGAGGCCGGCGTGCGCGGGGAGGTCCTGGTGCCCCTCCGAGAGGGCGGCGGGAGCGCGGGGCGGGCCTGGCGGGAGGGTGGCGACCCGGCTGGCGGGGCGGGGGCGGGCTGGCTCTGGCTCCTTCTTCCTCCGCATGTGGCTGGCGGCCGCAGAGCAGTTCAGTTCGCGCACTCCCAGCTACCCGCGTCCCCTTCGGGCTCTCCTCGTGTCTCCGGAGCCATGGCGTTTGCCGAGACCAACCCGGCGGCATCCTCCTTGCCCAACGGCGACTGCGGCCGCCCTAGGGCGCGGCCTGGAGGGAACCGGGTGACGGTGGTGCTCGGCGCGCAGTGGGGCGACGAAGGCAAGGGGAAGGTGGTGGATCTGCTGGCGCAGGACGCCGACATCGTGTGCCGCTGCCAGGTGAGGCGGCAGGGCTCTGACGGGAAGCCGGTCCCTGAGCTCGGGCCCAGAACTTGCATCCACCGTCCGAAATAAGGTGTCACCTTGAGGTTCTTTCCTCCTACTATGAGCTGCGGCGACGTGGGGAAATGGCGGGAGGTCGGAGACCCCTGACCTGGGTCTCGGGCTGAGGGCTCGTGATGGCTCAGGAGGAAAATGCGGCTTGACTCTGGGAGCCTTGACTCTGAGATGCGCGATGCCTGGGGAGTTGCAGTGTTCGGTCTGAGGGCCAGTGCTCAAACCCAGGATGGGCCGGGGTGGAGATGGGAGACCGTTCGAGTTTGAGGAGCTACCGCCCGAGGCCTGCTGGCCACTCCGGGCAGAGACCCTAGGGGGCCGCAAAATCGTCCCCGTCATCACCCATTCTCCCAGGGGATATCAAGTGGGCCGAAACGCCCAAAAATGCAGACTCGCCACTCCCCCACCTGCAGGCCCGAGCTTCCGAGCTTTGCCTCCTCGGGTCCACTTTATTGACATGAGAACCCACCTCTGGGCTTTAGGGCGGTTTAATGGCCCCGTCTTTTACTGGGTACCCGGTATACTAAGGAAGGTTAATTTTACTTCTTGGTCCTAAAGGTAGGAATCCCAGCTGTTTTACGAGGCAAGTGAAAGGACACTAGTGTCAAATCTAGTATTTAGAAATATTTACATTGTTAACGCTCACACCTAGAGTGAACTTTCGGGAAATGGAATGGTAATATACTTCCTACCGGGAGACACGTGGTTTTCAGTGTAAGCCGCCTTCCTATTTGTCGTTTGCTTTGAAGCAGCCTAGAGGCTAGGCCTTTCTAAAGGCTCATAGGTAACTGTTACGAATTTCAAAATTCTAAATAGTTGAGCAATAAGCCCTTTCAGAACGAATGGTAATGTAATGTCTGAAGTTAACTGCTGTTTAGGTTGCAGGAATGTTTCTTCTTCATGAACTGTGTACATGACAATATAATAATGCTGTGTGCATTCTAACAAGTTCCTAGGCCTGCTTGATTAGAAGTGTTCTACCTAAAACTGAGTACCATTGTGGCAGGCAGAAAAAATTAATCATAGGTACATCAAAAGTTAAATGGGAAAATCTTGGTTTTTTGCATGAGGAAATCCATCCTGCCCGTTTCTGGGTTAAGATAGCTGTTGCACCAGTTGCTTCTTAGTATTACCACTAACACCAGCATCACTTCTCTTCCAGTCTTCTATTCTTCCACCTCTCTGGCTACACACAGAGGTTTCTTCACGACACTCCTAAAGGTGTTGCCTCACACTGCTGTAGGAGCTGCTCCAGAAGACTGACCATCACCTTCCTTTTCTCTTAAGATTCTATATTGCTGTGCTGTGCCAAAGTCTGGGAATACCTAACTCTTTCTGGGCAGGAGGAGAGGTTGAGACCCCTTTATCTACTTCACTGTCATTTCTGATATCTTTCTTATACAGAAATGGTTGTGGTTTAGTTGCTAAGTCCTGTCCGACTGTTGCGAACCCATGGACTGTAGCCCACTAGGCTCCTTTGTCCATGGGATTCTCCAGGCAAGAATACTCCAGTGGGTTGCCATTTCCTTCTCCAGGGGATCTTCCCAACCCAAGAATCGAACCCAGGTCTCCTGCATTGCAGGCAAATTCTTTTATACAGAAATAGCTAACATAAATAACAGAATAAATATAGGTTGTAAGTAGTTTTGGGGGATGTAACCATTTTGTGTTTATTCTAAAAGAGCCTCAATTTTAATAATCACTTTGAAAAGAAGTAGAACTCGCTTGTTAGTTGGAGAGGGATAACCATGTTACTGTAAAAAGTAGTCTTGAAGGAAGTCATAGGCTGATCTGATCTGATGCCCTTGGAAAGTCTGGAGAGAAGTGATTGAGAAGGAGCCAAGTTTGGCTTTAGAATGTTAGCTGAAGATAGAGGAGAAACGTATGAGCAGACTTGTTAAGCAGACTTGACTCACCTGTAAAATTTTGACTTACTACCTTCCTTATATAATTTAAAAAATTTATATTCTTCTAGTGTTTAAGAACCCAAAGGATTCTTATGTCTTGTTAATGCCAGTAGATAAATAATGAATAGATTTAAGAATATCCGTTGTGATTCACTTTGGTAACTGTATTATTTGGTCAGTCCCAGTAAGCTGACATCTCTTAATGAAGTTCTCCTGACTTATAAAATTGATAGTTATGGACTGTTGAAATTCTCAAGAAGTATGTATAGAGAGCTGGGAAAGGTCAACTTTCGGAAGGACATTTTGGACTAGGCTTGCTCTGTTTGATGATTTAAGTTTTGTGTATTATTGAAAATAATATGCACTTTTTAGAGTTTAATCAATATATTTTGTCATATTCATGCCATAAACTCAAAATTTTTTAGTGTTTCTCCAGAAGTGGTATACTCATAATGCATCTCTAATGGAATCATAAAATAAGGAATTTCTCCCAATAAAAATAGAGTTTTTTAAAAGAAAAACTGACATTGCATTTAACTGTTTTAAATATAAAATGTCTTTTTGGAAAGAATAGGTGCAAAGCTTGGGGCATTTTCATCATCATTTTAGATTTGGGATTTATAGGAAGCTATAACTTGTCAGATACTTAAACTTTAGATCCTTAAATAAGTGTGTAGGACTTGCATGGAAGGATGACTTAATTCAATAGGTCTTGTAAGAAAATGAGAAGAAGTAGTATAGGACCAATTTCTGGCATAGTTCATTCATCTAACAATCTCATAATAAATATATATAGGAGACCACTTAGCCCCAGAGTTAGCTGGCAAAGGCAGGGCTTGTGCTCACAAGGTGTTTATTGTCTAGTGGATAACTGTTACTTAGAAAAGTATTGCCAGGGTGGGGATGGAGAAGGGTGTTAGTGTGGGTTTTTCAAAAGGTTAAAATATGGAAATAGGAAGGCCCCTTCCTGGCAACACAAAAATAGTTTTATTAGAAGGTCTGTTACTATCCCCTCACCGCAATTCCCTCAAAGTAAATTAGGCTCTATTTTCTTTATTTCGTCAAATAGAAACTACAGAGATTTTGACTATTGTACTTTATATCAGGCCTGAAGCATAGACTTGTTTATTGTTCTGGTGAAAGTAAAGCTTGGTAGTCTTGTCTATGACAGGCATGAGGTTAGTTGCCTGTGATGGGGTAGCTAGAACAGTATTTCCTTTCTTTGTGTTTTTCCTCAGGGTTTTAATGTTAATATAAAGAGGAAATACTAAATAAAATTAATTATAAAGGGAAAGTATGTCCTGTCACATGCTGTATGTAAAGTTGGCCATAAAACTAAGCACAGTGAAAAAAATGTTTGTAGCTAGATTCCGGTATCTGTTGAAGGGTCTGAAACCAGTTATTAGCAAGTGATAAAGAAATGCAAAAGACGTACCAGCAGCAACTGAGACTTTCTCCTTGAAATACTCAGAAAGGTTGAAAGATAATTTAAAAGAAAATAACTTCAGTGTTTTTTTAATGCCTTGACCTTATACAGCTAAAATTATCTTCTAAACCACCTCCCATAATTTTGAAGCTGTTGGAGAATTAGCATTTAAGGTAAGCCATTCTTCCAGTTTTATAACAATTGCTGTTTCTTTGTCTCATATCAGTATTGTTTTCTATATATAGTATTTTCCATGATTGTACATAAGTGATTACCACTGTGTGTTGTACTTGGTTAAATCTTACTTTCTTGGATTATTGTGCTTTCCCTAATAGAATGCTTTCCAGGTGGCGCTAGTCTTAGGAACCCACCTGCCAATGCAGTCGGACACAACTGAAGTGATTTAGTACTATTAGAATGAAGGTTTCTCAGAAAGAGGACTCATTCCCTTTTTGTTTTCTTCCATAGCACCCAGTACTACATGAGGCAGTGTGTGCTTAGTCGCTCAGTTGTGTCCAACTCTTTGCAGCCCCATGGATTGTAGCCCGCTAGGCTCCTCTCTCCATGAGATTCTCCAGGCAAGAAAACTGGAGTGGGCTGCCATGCCCTCCTCCAGGGGATCCTTTCCAACCTGGGGATCGAACCCAGGTCTCCTGCATTGCAGGCAGATTCTTTACAGTCTGAGCCGCTAGGGAAGCCATATGAGGCAGAGAGGAAGTAGATACTCAACAAATATATATTGGGTGACCTGGATCACCCTTAGAAATTTCTTTGAATTCCTTAGTTTAGCCCTTTGCTGTATTATTTTAACACGTGCTCAGTCGCTTCAGTCATGTCTGACTGTGACCCTATGAGCAGTAGCCCACAAGGCTCCTCTGTTCATGGGACTGTCCAGGCAAGGATACTGGAGTGGGTTGCCACGCCCTCCTCTAGAGGATCTTCCCCACCCAGGGATTGAACCCACATCTCCTGTGTCTCCTGCATTGCAGGCGAATTCTTTGCCGCTGAGCCACTGGGGAAGCCTTATTATTCTTAACATATTCCTGGGCAATTTAACTGACCATTGATGTGAGCTTAATGTGGAATCCCCAGCATTCCTTGGATTAACATTTGTTACATAGTATTTTTAGCTAGTATTTTTTTATGTTGTACTATTATGTTCAAAGGCTTTACTCCTTTAAAGTTTTATCTCTTTTATCTATGAGAAAATAGATAACTGATAATTGTATAATTTTTGTGCATTTCCTCAACAAATTTCAGTTGACTGCCATGTGTTTCTAGTAAATAGTTTTTCTTTGCTGAGGGCAGTAGATCTCAAAGTTTGGTCGATGAGGATGTCCCAAGTTGTTCACTGTTTAAGCTTACTGTATTAGAATAGATAATACGGCATTATCTTTATTTTTGAGGCATAAATTTTTAAATTATATGAAATTATCTTCAGTAGTCTGACCAATATTATTCTGTTTCTTTAATTTTGGTGAGAAAAGGTGGATTAGTTTGCTAGTTTTAAGTATCTTTAGGAAAAATTGTTGCCTAGAACAAATCTAGAGTGAACTTGTAAATTGATAATATACTTAATAGCTTACTTAACAGTAATTGTATACAGATCT